ATTTCCCCCCACCCAATTCCTTCCTCTTTCATCATTTCCCAACCCAGTCTGTGAAACCCAAGAGCCCATACTTTCCAAGAGGCTAATAGTGTATGTGTGTGTATGATCCACCATGCTTCACATTGTTTTCTCCAGAAGTTTAAGCCTTAAGTATCTGTGGCCATTAATCACTGTGTAAACTAGCTCCCCCATAGTGCTCTGAATATCCCCTCAGCTAACACTGTCCTTGTCTCCTTCGCAAAAGCTACCACTGGGTCAGAGGAACCCCCACTGCATGACCTCCCTCCCAGCCAACATCCACCTCTCTGAAAGTTCCTCCTCCTGCCCAACTACTTCAACCCTGACCTAACTGCTTGGGGACACCATGTTTCCTGAAACCCTCTCAAGCAGTGATGATTTCTCTTCTACGCTTCACCTACTTCAGGTAGAACTCTCTTCCTCTCTGTTCTAATTTAACAGCACCATTACTTCATTCTTCAACAGATATCTGACCTCTACAACATGTGGCATTGTGGGGGAAGAGGTTGTACTCAGTATCAAAACAGGCAAAATCTCTAAATAATTCAAGTGGAGAAGCAAAGAACTATATATACATAGGTGAATATATAACTTTGTTTTTTTGTACTGGGGTTTGAACTCAGGGCCTTGTACTTGCTTAGGCCAGCATTCTACCATTTGAGCCACACCACCAGCCCAATAATTTCACTTTTTAAATATATTTTTATGTTGACACCTAGTCACTGTAAATATTTATGGAAATTTCAATATATGTATTCAATGTGTTCTGATCAAATCAAAATGACTATCAAATCTGTTACCTCACATCATTTTTTTGTGTTATAAACATTCAAATTCCTCTTTATTAACTCTTTTGAAATATTCAATTTATTTTTTATTTTTTAAAAATTTTTATTTTATTCATACATGGATACAATGTTTGGGTCATTTCTCCCCCCTTCCCCTGCCCCCTCCCTTTCCCCCTGAAATATTCAATTTATAATTTTAAATTGTACTGAGACATGAAAGATAAAATAGGAAGTCATAATGAGAATTTTGTTTGTGGGTGGAATAATTAGTTTAGAAACAGCAATCAGTGGTATTTTAAGGGGAGTTGAAGGACAAGGAGTCAGTCAAGTGGAGAATGAGGCAGGGAACATTCTACAATGAGAGAAAAACAAGGTCTTTCCAAAGACCTTTTCTTCCTCCTCAGCAATCTATGAGCAATTCTATGGTCATATCCTGGACTTTGTCACCAGCGGACTCGAGGAACCCCTACTTCCCCAATAACTACTTGAAACCCACCATGGCTTCCTCAGTAGTTTCTACTTTATCTAAAACTTTAATCCCAGAGCTCAGTATTCACTTGTCATTGAGTCAGTGTTCTTCATTGAGGTTCCCTTCTCACCAACTTCATTTCCCAATGTAATTTGTATCCCATCTCTCACACACACTCAACCCCTTGACTTTCTCCCTTTTCTCTTCAAGTTCTGCCAAAATCCAAATCATTTTGCATTTTCTCGGACTACATTTGTGCCAGTGAGAATTGCTGGACACCTCTTCCTCCACTGACAGATTGTAAACTAAATTCATGATCAGTAATTTCACACAGGTCTTCCTTTGCACTGCAAATAGTGTGCAATTCTCTATTAGTTCCCTCCCACATTGTCTAACTTCTCTCTCTTCAACATTTGTACCCTACTCTAGACTTCAGCTTTCATGATACCCTATGCAATGGCATTCCCTATCTTTCTGACTACTCCTTCCTAGGTTATTCTGATATTTCCTCTTTCATTCTAAAGGTTGGAGCTATTCAGGACTCAGGCCATTTTCTCTCATTCTTCTGCTTCTTCCCAAGTGATCTCATGCCTTCCAGACTTTAAATCTCACCTATATGCTTGTAACTCCAAATCTCTTTCTTGCTCCAGGCTACCACTCTAGTTTGAAGGCCTCCATCTTAGTATGAACCACAATCATCTCCTGATGATACTTTTATAATGGCTGCTAAATCTTTCTACTTATAGTTCCATCTCCATACAGTACCACTGTGATCTTTTTGAGGTGTAAGTCAGAACATCACTCCTTTACTTAAAGCAATTTTCATAACTGAGAGAACAAAATCCAAAAACATGTCTTAGTTTCTTATGGCTACCATAACAAATTACAACAAACTTAGAGGTAGAGCAGTAGAAATTTATTCTCTCATAGATTTCTGGAAGACAGAAATAAAGTGTCAGCAGAGACACATTCCTTCCACAAAGGGCCTAGGGGACATCACGTTCTTTTTCTCTTCCAGCTTCTGGTGCTCCATGGCTTGTGCTGCATCACTGCATCTCTGCCTCTGAATTCATATGGCTTCCCTTTATGTCTCTGAGTATTTCTCTCCCTTCTTTTTTGGTGACTGGGATTTGAACTTGCAAAGCAGGTGCTCTACCACTTGAGCCACACCTCCAATCCACTTTGCTCTGGTTATTTTGGAGATAGAGTCTCAGGAACTATTTGTCTGGACTGGCCTCAAACCACCATTTTTCTGGTCTCAGCCTCCCAAGTAGCTAGGATTACAGGAGCGAGCCACAGGCACCCAGCCTCTGAGTATCTTTTTTAAACACTTGTCATTGGCTATTTCACAATTATCTCATCTCAAGGTCTTTAATTATGGCTACTAATACCTTTTTTTCCAAATAAAGTCACATCACAGGTTCCAGGGATTAGGATCTAGACATATCTTTGGGTGGGTCACCTAATGCCTACACTATAGCCTCTGAAGCCTTGCCAAAGCATCCTCTGCCTTCTCCTATACCTTCATTTCACTCTTCCAACCAGGTAGAATTCTACCAGATTCTAACTTGTCTGTGGTTCTTTTACATCCTTGATCTAGGACAAGTTCTTTCCTACACTTGGTCTTTGCCTATGCTACTCTCTCTCTCTCTCTAGTCTTTACTTAGCTAACTCCTTCTTTAGGTCTTCAGTTAAATATAGCTTCTGTGTAGAATTACTCCTTGACCCCAAACATTTAATTATTATCTCCACTGTTATCATCCCTCAAAACACCCCTGTTCCTTTTCTTCACAACACTGTTTTCCTTTGTTCCATCAAGGTGCACTTACATGTGGATTTGTGAATTTACTTGCTAATATTTGTCTCCACTGGACCATGAACTCTTCATACCATCTTGGGAAACAACATCTGTTTTATTCACCTCTGTATGTATACTCAGAGCATTGGACAGCATGTGGCATACAGTAGCATTAACTAAACAAAAGAGTACTGAATAAATAGAGAACTTCCCCTTTCTCTTTTGAACAAGATTAGAAAAATGCAAATAAATGGGTTAAAATGGTGACCAAACAGCAGAGCTGCCTGCAAAAGAAACAATAGTACTGATGATGATGATTACCAAATTTGAAGGACTTCTCTGGTCTTCCATTCTGCCATGGACAACTATACAACTCAGGAATTCATTTCACTTTTTACAATAATCTCTCCCTTTTATCCAAAAAGACTGATTGAGGTTTCTCAGAATTTTTAAGAAAAATCCCAATACAAACTGATTTCTATGTTCTACTTACTACAAAGCTAGAGGATTCACATAAATATATAATTTTTTTAATTCTGCAAATTACAAAGTGACTTAACTATTATTAGTAATCTATTCTGTTGGCTGTTCTAAAGTTTACCATCACAGAGTCACAGAGAAAAATATCTTCTCTGGGACACTAAAATTTTTCAATCTAATTTGGATACAATTTACACACCATAAAATTTACCCTTTAGTACACAATTCAGGGTTTTGCCCCAAGTTGTGAAACCGCTGTCACTAATTCTAAGACATTCTCATCACAACCTCCCATTCCCCCCAAAAGTTCTCATTAGCAACCATTTTCTATTCCTCCCTCCCTCAACTCCTGGTAACCAGGAATATACCATCTCTATGGATTTTCCCATCTTTAAAAAAAAAAATTCATGAACCTGAAACAGAGATAAAGTAATTTGCAGTTATAAAAGTCACTTAGTAAGACAGCAGAGTTAAAGAATACATATTTACAGAATTGTCCAAGTATATAAAAACACAGAAAAGTGAAAAGATGTTTAGTATTACCTATACATGTTCCAAATGTGCCTATAAGACATCTGAGATGCTCAAAGTACATTATATACTTATATGAAAAATGCTATAATGAAACCCACTATTTTTTCAGTTAATATACACTAACAACCTTTTTTTTCTTTTTTGTGGTACTGGCATTTGAATACAGGGTCTCACACTTGCTAGGCAGGCGCTCTACCACTTGAGCCACTCTGCCAGCCCTAATAAAGACCTCAGGTAAAAGCAGAGTCCTTAGATAGCCATTCTCAGGCAGCATCTCACCAGGGAGCTGCAGTGGTGCAGGGTGTTGGCCAAGAATCACTAAAATGAAAGGTGATATTGGTGGAGGGGAACTGCACTCATGTACAGGCAAAGAATGAGGTTATGTGGTTTATGGTACAGTTTTCTTTCCAACCCAGGATTCTGAAGTTAGTGCTCAGGTGACTGGGTACCCAGTTACTTCCTTTTATAATGGCCCCAATGAGTCCCAGATATTCTCCATCATTTCCAGTTGTTCCTAAATAGTTAATGCAGTAATAGTGCTAATACCACTTTCTGATTAATGACAACTTGTAGGAACCTTCCCTTTTTAAGTATTCTATTGGCATTTTCAAGTAAGTAAAAGAATTAAAAGCTTAACTTACCTGTGTTGCCATCATAAATGTGTACAAGAGCAGTAATTCCATAGACTAAAATCACTGGAATTCGTTTGCAAAAATAATTAGGCACATGTTTTATTTTATATACTTTACTCAACATTACAAACATCATTAACAAAAAGAAAGAAGGATGAAATTGTTCCTAACACACAAAAATATTCATTGTTCAATAGACAGTAATCTGAACAATATTCTTTGTAATCAAAGATATTATTTAAGAAAATTCAAAAAGACAAACACATCAAAAGCATTTTATTGAGACCCTAAAATAACAATAGTATACAACTTAAAAATAATCTCTTCAACCTAGAAAATTTTGATTTGCTAACATGAATGCATATGCAAAAGCCTACCACTGAGTGAGTAAACAAATTTTCTTTTACAAGCAAGTTATTTTGAGTTGTAAAGACCCTTCTGATGATACGTTATCGTTTTCTAAAAAAAAATTACTGCTAAAAATGCTTAAGTAGATAGTCAATCTAGTCATTGGTCACTAGTTGACACAATGAATATTTAAAGTGGAAACTTCTTGCCCTTCAAATATTTTCATAAAATTATTATTAAGCATGTAAATTAGCTTAAAAGATCAACTCTTAATTGTCTATAGCAAAAGAGAACTTTGGTATTGGTAAGTTAGAATTAGAGAATCAAAATATATTTCATATGTGTTATTACAATGTATTTTTGGAATCCAATTGAAATATGCCTATGCATAAAAACACGAAAGCCTTTTTCCTCTGTTACATGTACTATTGCGAGGAACGATCAGCCCAATTATTCTGAATTACTGGCATTTATAAAACACCATCCTAAAATTTCTCCCCAAAAGATCTCTGGATCATACCTCCCATTTAAATAAATAATTAAATACTTTAGTTTTGAAATCCTTTTTTTTGCTTTTAATAGAAGTATCAAGATGCTAACAATAAAAATGATTCCAACAGGTACTTTAAGAACGCATTCCTTTTGGTTCTCCCACATAACAAGGAAGCTAAAAAGAACACCAAAAAAAAAAGGGGAGGAGGGAGAAAATTTTACAGGTTAAAAATAGAAATTCATTTTTTAAAGGAGACTAGGCAAGAGGAGAAGATATGTTTAGGAAAATACCACTTGAAAAATTCAGAGTATTATTATAAATCCTCCTTAAACCCAGGGCCAAGCACATTGCACACAGAATATTTTCACTTTAAGAGGCAAAAAAGAAAAAAAGAAGCAAATTAGTCACAATTACATAGCAATTTTAATTTTTGAAATGGTCATCCTAAACAATTTTCTTAAATTCAGATTTCGTGAAGTTCCTACTCCCCACCGAAAACTTCTTATGAAAACCTGTGAGCCAATTCTTTTTGGAGCATACATTTTTCTATAAATCCAAACCAAGGTGAAGAAATTGAGATTTAATTCTCAATTCAGCCTGTGATTTCTGGACATAACACTGGTATGAAACCAGTAAAGACACTTAAAAAATATTTTTACTTCTCAAATACTTTAGTTTGGGAATGTTTATGTTCTTATTCCAAAGGTTACTTTTAGAGTTTAAAAGTTTTAAAAACAAAACTGGTTCAACAACTGCCAAAACTGAAGTGACTACAAACACTGACTACAACTTCCTGCCCACAGAGATAGGTGAGCCCTGCTCACTTCATCTATAAAACTACTTCTCTTTACCAGCTTCACAACTGGAAAGAACATCGCTCAATTGCTCAGCATTGTCTATGTCAAAAATGAAGAGATGAAGTGTTATAGAAACTGCATAGTGACTGAGTGTGAGGAGAATGTGTAATCAACATTTCAGAACTGGAATACCACCAGAAGAGAAAACTAAGGTCCACACACAATAAAATGACCAGACCAAAGTTCACAATACTCAGCTAAGCCATCCATCCATCCATCCATCCATCCATCCATCCACACACTCACTGAAAGCTTCCACAAAGCCAGGCTGCTACGTGCTGACAATCTAGTAGGCAGCAGTCACAACTGCCAAGGCAGTCTCTTTTCCTAACAATCTTAAGATAAATCCTTAAATTTCCAGATTGGTAAGAACTTGTAGAAGATTTCCACAGCTTCTGTAGAACTGGGCCCGCTTTCAGTTTCACACCTTTCAGTAAACACAGTTGGGTTTAACTTCAGAGAGGCCTCAATTGTGTTTACTTTAAATGATTTAAGCACTAACAAAGGGAGGCACGGTGTTCTGAATGAGTCCCTTTCTGGTACATTCATAACTTAAGGAAGTGCAATCAGAAAATGCCCACAAAAAGGACAGCTTACAAAATCAGAGGGATTTGAGGTATTGATATATAGATCAGTTAAGTCCAATAGCTCAGTTGACAAAGTATGGAATATTATGTATCTCCCTATTTTATTCAGACCTGGCCATAGTTTTCTGAGATGCCTGTATGTTAAAAAGACCTTCAGAAACTCACATCCATACCAATGCCAGCTTCCAATGACACACATATCTAAATAAGCCCTTTTTCTCCTTAAGATCAACTTTCTTTGATTTTTATTTGATTAAAGGAAAATTCAAAAAAATCACATTCTAAATAATCAAAATAGCAATAGCTCAAACTGCACATTTCTGAGTTTTGATTTAAAAAATGGCACGTGCAGTGAACTTACCCATCAGCATAAATCATACCTCATTTCACTTGGACTTCTATATTCTTTAATATTACATCTGGCACTTAAGTGTTTTGTGCATCTCAATTCACAGTCAGCTTCTTTAAAGAGAAGTAAGAGACCATTATCGACAAAACTGTTACATAAAATAACACATCGGTAAGGCACTTTGAAATATTAAACAGCAGCACTCTGTGCACCCAGTTTCAGTGTAATATCACCAAATGAAACACAGCTTTCTAGTCCTCTCATAGATTGCTGTTGGGTGACTTCTGGTAAAAACACAATCTCCACTGAGGTTCTTTGCCTTTCTGGAAGCTATTGTCAGCTCATGACAAAAGTGCTGTTGTGTTTTTCTATTTCTCAAAACTCCAGATTTGATTTTTATCCAGGGCATCACAAGTTCTCATCTGTACACTAGGTCGACCCTCAGGTGTCCGATAAGCACTAAGACACATTCCTGAGTGGGGATGAAAAATGGTTCCATCTTCTTTAAAATGCCAAATAATGTTTACAGGGACAGGGGACCCATCTTTAGGACAGTTTTGCATTCCTACATGATTTTTTTGCTCAGGAACCTCCGCACATAACTCAGTCACAGAATTAAACCTTATTTCTTTGTTTGAAGTATATTCAAAGAATTGATTGCCTCCTTGACCATGACATCCAAACAATGAAAGGTGTGCACCTGTAGGGTTGTTCTCAGGAGAATTGTAATCTAAACATTCAGAAGAGATTCCCATACTGTGAATAGCCCCGTGCCAACCTGGCCTATCCTCTGGTACATGTAAGTTAGAAAACACATTTTTCAAATACCAGTCAAAGCTCTTGCATCTCAGCCGTTCTCGTAGTAATTTTCTTTCAGAAATATCTCCATAAGCTTCTTTCCGAGCTGGAGGGTTTCGATTGTAGAAATGCTCTTTGTATTCATCCATCCATACTTCTGCTGCCCGAGCAGTATTCTGTAGGAAATTGGGACGAGCATATGGTGCCCGCTTGGGGAACACATGGCCCACGTGAGAACATGGGTGGATCTCCAATTTGCCACCACACTGCCATACCCTAAAAGACAGCTCAAGGTTTTCACCTCCCCATACTTCCATTCCAGTGTCATATGTTCCCAGGTACTCAAAATATTTCTTACTAACAGCAAACAGCCCTCCAGCCATGGTGGGTGATCTGATGGGGTCAATTCTTGATGTCCGTCTGTCCCTTTCGTGTTTGGGGACAGAATGCCACTGGAATGTTAAGCGCCAGTCAAACCCACCAATCATGGGCTCCCCCGTCTGCATATAGAACTCAAAAGTGTTCCAATCAATAGTATCTATAACAGGACAAACAACTGCTGTTTCATCTCTACCAATCCTTTCCAAAAGTGGTTCCAGCCAACCAGAATTACACTCGCAGTGACAATCCAGGAAAGTGAGGACATCACCAGTGGCAAAAGTGGCCCCAATGAGGCGGGCTCTAACCAGCCCCTCCCGTTTATTGGTTCTAATCAAACGGACTCTATCGAGATTGCTGATGTAAGTTTCAAGTTGTGCCTTCAAATAAATTCTGTCACTCAAGTCATCAACCAAGATGATCTCCTTCAAAAGCACAGCAGGGGAAGTTTCTAAAACACTGTGAATGGTGCGGAGCAAAGTCGACCAAGCTTCGTTGTAGAAAGCGATGATGACAGAGGTGGTGGGAAGTCTCCTGTAGTCGAACTTCTTGGATTTACACTCGTACATTCTTTTATCCTCTATGTGGCGGTGCAGGGAGATCCTGTCACTGAGGTAAATGTTGATGGCATATCGCTCAATGAGCTCTTCTTGTTGCTTCAGTTCGCCCTCGTTGAGCTGCAGTTTGCTGGCTCTCCCCCACTCCCCAAGGGCATGGGAATCCGCAGGGGGCTTCTCATAAAGAGGTTGGGACAAATCCTCTGCTCTCTCCTCAAAGGTTGAGAGTCGACCTGCTCCCTGCTCTCTAGCATGGCCGGCTCCTGCGGAGGCATGGAAAGTGGAGACCGAGAATTCCACTACGATATAAGCCACAGTTAAAAGCGCCAGCAACAGGCAGCTCTTGCCCGCCCAGGTCCACCTCACGGCCATCCGGATCCTCATGGCCAGGGCGTTGACGCGGCCACCGAGCCACCACGCAGGGGAAGTGCAGCGGAGCCCACGGCTTGAGTTCCCGGCTCAGGTAGGGGTGAACTTCCCAGCAGGTCCCTTCTTTCATGCAGACGATCGGCTCCTTTCCCGCCACCGGGGTCTCCCAGAGGTCACTTGAGACGCCTCCCCACCCCCCGGTCCTTGGGCTCCGGTTCAGCCCAACTCCTCAGCCCCTACACTTCCTCCTGCTCCTCTCAGAACTTTTCACAAACTCTGCAGCCAACACCACACCCTCCCCGGGCGGAAGACAAACCCCTCCCCTTCCCACGCACTCCTCCTGGCGGTTAGTTCGCGAACGTTGTGTGTTGGGCCCTGCCGGCAGGCGGCCCTGCCGGGCCAGGCGAGAGCCGGGGGGACCCGAGTGGTCCCCAGTTGCACCCCACCCCATATAGGCGGTTCTCTTGGGGGCCCAGCAAGGGCAGGAGCAAAGGATGACGGCCAAATGAGCTGCTTTTGTCTTGTCACAAAATGAAAAACATAAACGGGAGAGAACTGAGAATGAATGAATAAAACTTACCAAGTTGTTTGGAGTTGGGGCTAAAGTCCACCGAGGTGATAGCAGCTTTGTGGCCTTTAAAATAACGCTCCAAAACGGGGTCCTCCTAGGAAGAAAAGTGGTCAAGCTTTGAAAGCAGGTGAGGACCTCCAAGTCCAGGGGTTCACGAGGTCCTTCCCCGGGGTCCGGCCGCAGTGGGCTGAGCGGTATAGGAGCCCTGGCCGGGCGCCCAGACCTCTCCATGGAGACTCGGGCCCGGTCCCTCGCCAGCCGGCAAAAGCCTCCATTCCGGCTTCCTAAGCCCGGAGCATCCGAGGGGCCACCTGTGGGCCCCCCGACAGGCACGCTCCCGGCCCCGCCCCCCAGGTGCGGAGTCCACAGGTGCCAGCGCGCGCCGGGGCTTGGATCCTTTTAAACCTCCCAGGTGATTCTGACGCAGGCGCTCCACAGAAACGCTGTGTGAGTTCTGGGGGCTATGGGGTCGTCCGGGCTCTGTCCGGAGCTCCGGGATGCCAGCAGGACGGCCCGGCAGCCCCGAGAGCCTAGACTCGGTGACCCCGATGCCCAAACCTAGAGAGTGAAATGCGGGCGCACGGGGACGAGGGGCGGGATACTCCGGAGCCGGCTGCCCCACCTGCCTCCATCTCCCGCCAAATGCCGGCATGATCCCCTCCTGGCCCCGCAGCCGCGGGAACGGCTCGGAGAAGGGATAGTCAGCCCATCCTTACCGGGGCGGAGGCCATAGGGGAAGTGGTCAGTGCTGGGCTCCTGCCGGGGGGGACCGGGGAAGGGAAGGGGACAGGGTAGGAAGGGGGACCGTGCGGCGCCCGGAACTGTCTGCCGGGAGCGGCGGCGCCTCCCGGTCACTACAACAACGGCGGCCCAATCAAGGCGCGCGCGGCAGGCGTGGCCAGACGAACCCCGAGACTCCCCGCGCGCGCAACCTGGAGCCTACTGAACCCCGGGCGGGGCGCTGCGGGGTCCTGCGTGTTCTCACACCCAAGACAACGGTGGCGAACGCCCGCGCGCCCCCCGGGGTTGCTGTCCAGAAGGGAATCGTAACCACAAGGAGAATGAGATCGATGGGAGGGACGCTGGGATCGATACAATCAGCGTTCTATTGCGCGTTAAAGAGACGGCGCCACGGTTTTTAACCTGGTCCCCTACAGCATGCGGTGACGGGACAGGGAGCCTTAATAGGATATGAAGAGGTTTGAATTTGCTTAACCACTGTTTTTCATTTGCTGTCCCCTGAGCGATATAGATACAATGATGGTTACAGGTGATGAATGAACGTTTTTTTTGAAGTTTGCATTCACTTAATTTTTTTTTACCTCCTGTATGATTTTACTCTTGGTTTTTGAGACAGGATCTCCTTATGTAGACCAGGCTGGTCCTCCTGCCTCAGGCTTCCCAAGTGCTGGGATTGCAGAAGTGCCCCCACCACGCTCGCTGTATGTTTCTATTTTCATCTGCTCATACTTTACAGTGGTAAATTCACACAAATTTATAGTCTTCCAGAAGACTTAGAAACATCTGTTTTTGTTTTAAGTTACTAGACCACATAATAATTACAACCATTTCTACAGTAGGCTTTCTTACACATAGTATTATTTGTGCTTTAGCAACAAGGTGTAGTGGTAAAGTTACAAAATACTACCAACATTAGCAAATTATAAACTTCATTCTTACCTTGGTCTAAAGGCCACACAGAGGTAGCTCTCCCAAGTCCTATCCTTCTTTAAAACCCTGCCTCAAAGCATGTATGACACAGCTGAAAAGTATATATAGAATAAAGATAACTAGCAACAAAATGGCATGATAGACCACCAAAACTGGTTAAGATACATGCTTTATGCAAATGAAAGGTGTACTACATACTTTAATTTATAGGTTCTCTGTAAAATGTCTAAGTTTAGCTTTAATGAGTATTATACATGCCGATTAAAGAGGTAGAAAATGACTTTAGATTGCAATACAGTATTATTTGAATTCAAGTATGTTTATTAAATATCTGCTGTATCATGAAAAAATGCTCACCATCTCTAGCAATAAAGGAAATGCAAATTAAAACCACACTAAGATTCCACTTCACCCCTGTTAGAATAGCCATCATTAGCAACACCACCACCAACAGGTGTTGGCCAGAATGCACGGGCGGGGGAAGGAACCCTCTTACACTGTTGATGGGAATGTAAACTAGTACAACCACTCTGGAAAAAAATTTGGAGGCTACTTAAAAAGCTAAACATCGATCTACCATTTGATCCAGCAATACCACTCTTGGGGATATACCCAAAAGACTGTGACACAGGTTACTCCAGAGGCACCTGCACACCCATGTTTATTGCAGCACTACTCACAATAGCCAAGTTATGGAAACAGCCAAGATGCCCCACTACTGATGAATGGATTAAGAAAATGTATTTATACACAATGGAATGTTATGCAGCCACGAAGAAGAACAAATGTTATTATTTGCTGGTAAATGGATGGAATTGGAGAACATCATTCTGAGTGAGGTTAGCCTGGCCCAAAAGACCAAAAATCGTATGTGTTCCCTCATATGCGGACATTAGATCAAGGGCAAACACAACAAGGGGATTGGACTTTGATCACATGATAAATCGAGAGCACACAAGAGGGGTGAAGATAGGTAAGACACCTAAAAAATTAGCTAGCATTTGTTGCCCTCAACACAGAGAAACTAAAGCAGATACTTTAAAGCAACTGAGGCCAATAGGAGAAGGGAACCAGGAGCTAGAGAAAAGATTAGTTGGAGAAGAATTAACTTAAAAGGTAACACACATGCACAGGAAATCAATTCGAGTCAATTCCCTGTATAGCTATCCTTATCTCAACTAGCAAAAACCCTTGGTCCTTCCTATTATTGCTTATACTCTCTCTTCAATAAAATTAGAGGTAAGGGCAGAATAGTTTCTGCCAGGTAGCAAAAGTTACCTGAGAGGTAAAAAGATGTCTGAAATGTTTTCCCTGCCCTCAAGAACCCAGGAATCTAGGTTGATGAGTCTCATTTTAATGTGTCATTCTGACTTAGTGGGTCCATCCCTAGAGATGCTGATTCAATATATATGGGGTGAAATCTAGGGCCCTACTGATGTAACAAGCTCAGATTATTGCTATAGGAATCTCAGCTATGTATGATAAGAAACATTGCTCGAATATAGAAGATGATGTGTTTAGAGTACTGATACTCTTACTGATCTTTGGGGCTTCAATGTGGCCAGGGTTCTTGGGTACAACGCCTAAGATTAGAATGTTGCCTAGGTTTGGCAAAAGAACCAGGAAAAGTAGGAAGATAGTAAAGAGTGATTTATCGGCAAAGCAAAAATATACCTCTGGGCACCAGGCAGCAGTTGGATGAGTCAGGACAGTACACATCAAGGGGATAGGCGGGCAATTGGATATGGACCAACTGCAAGGAATCTGTTGGAGCTTGGGGTTTTACTATCCAATAGGGTGAGGTTATTAGAAAGCATGAAACTGAGGCCCTACCCTGGTAGTCACTCCCAAATTCTTCACAACTTGCAGCAACTGCCCAGGAGTTGGGAAGGCATTCACCTACACATTTGATCCTCTTCCTCCTCATTTGATTCTCCTTTTGCCTTCCCTGGTGTAGTACTGCTATTAGAAGGTCATATAGCAATCATTATACCCTCAAGGGCACACCTGACCTTGATATGGGACGTGAACTCCCTAAAAAGGATATAGGGCCATTATCTTAATCATTGGCCTAGAGTGTAGGCCATCTGGGGTTTTAGAATGGAATCTCATAGCCCAGGGAATTCCATGTTCCTGTTCATGCCTATCTAGCTGCCTCTGCTAACAATACCAGGGCTGGGCTGTAGCTCAGTGGTAGAACACTTGCTTAGCATGCACAAAGCCCTGGGTTTGAACCCAACACACACAAAGAATATTGATACCAGCAACCTGTCAGCAAACTGTAAGCTTTGCTGTTTATTTCCAGTTTAAGTTTGGCATTTGCAGAAAAGACTGATGAATTGGGGACATGGCTCAAGTACAGAGCACTAGCCTAGGAAGGTGAGCTCCCGAGTTCAGTCCCCAGCACTACCAAAGCCAGAAAAGGACTGGCATGCTTAAAAATAATGCTGGAATGCTGATGGGAAATGTAAAATGGTGTGGTGTTGAGGAAAGCAGTCTGGCAATTCATCAAAAAGGTAAACATCATTTACTTTCCACTTTGAAAGCAGGACTCAAACAGATACTTGTATACCACTGTTCATTACAGCATTATTTACAATAGTCAAAAGGTAGAAACAACAAAGTATCCAACAGATGTGTAGGTAAACAAAATGTATATACACTTTTAAGTAACATTTTACGGATTAGTCCTTTTTTGTATCAGTCATCTATTGCCATAATAATGCAAAGTGTTAACAACCAACCATAAAACATCAGTGACATAAAAATTAATTAATTTTTAATTTATTGGTAAACAAAACATATTGAGTAGATGAGAAATTACCTATTGTCCCATCACCTTGTATGTAAAAAGGAATTCAGCCATAAAAGTTAATGGATTTCTGATAAATATTAACATATAGCTGGACCTTGAAAATACGTTGAATGAATAAGCCAGAAACATATATATTATATGATTACATTTATATGAAGTTAGGTGGATTCACAGAGACACAAAGTAGAATAGAGTTACCAGGGGAAAGGGAGAATGGGAGTTTTGTTTAATGGTGCGGAATTTTTTTTGAGACAATGCACTTTTGGAAATAGTGGTGAATTTTTACAACACTGAAAATGTGCTTAAGCATGTGGATTGTACACTTAGAAATGATTAAAATGGTAAATTTTATTTCATGTGTGTTTCACAAAACTAAAATTCATAATGGTGGAAACTGAGGAGTAATCAAACCTCAGGAACTCTCATGGTCATGGTATGTCTAATATCTGGTCAGCAGATTAAAAGGGAGAAAAAGTTGGAAACAGACATTAGCTCAAAAGAAAAAGAATTTAGGTATAAATTTCTCTAAGTGTTTCAGTAAAAGTTTAAAAAAACTTTTCAGTTATCAAAAATACATTTAAAGATAATCAGAAAGACAAGAGGCAAAGCAGGTTATGAAAGAATATCTGCATTCTTACTAAAAAATATCTTTCCTTGTTACTTATTTGTCCCTCTTGTTCTAGTTATCTATTGCCACAATAATGCTGTGTAACAAACAACCATAAGATGATAGTGACATAAAAATAAACAGTTGTTTAATTTATTGGTAAACAAAGTGTGTTATTAATTGAGCAGACGGGAAATTATCTGCTGCCCTATTGCCTAAAGTTGACCTTGAAACCTGTCGTATCTCCAGCATTGCAGCAAAACAATGTTTGTCATATCTTATGATATGCTTGTTACAGTTAGGTACTCTTCTCATTTGGGCCTTTGATCATCAAAATCATCTTATTAGAGAGGTACTAATATTACCATTCCCACTTTATAGACAAGAAAATTAAAGTGTAGAAGCATTAAATTCCTTGCCCAAGACACACAGCTAAGGACTGGTAGAGCTGAAATTAGACCCCAGCAGTTTGCCCCCAGGATCTCCTCTCTTAAGCACTAAAGTCATGATGCCTTTTGCATGACTGCAGTGATTTAAAAAAAATTTTAGAACTAAGCAACCTCTTGCAATTGCTTTAAGTGGGGTGGGGAGGGGGCTTGGAGGAGAGCAATGGGGGCAATGTAAATAATGTACAATATAAGTCTAATCAGAATTGTCACTATGAATCTCTCCCTGTATAATGAATATATCCTAATAAAAATTTATAAATTAAAAAAAAATTTGGTGGTTT